AGTAGTCTTCAGCTGTTGTGGAAGTCTTTATACTGACAATATTTAGAACTCTTGCAAATAGAATTGTTGCAACTTACATCTAAGTAGCCTTGTTTGAGCAGAGCGGTTGGATGTAATGAAACTAACGTGTCTGAGTAATAAGCAGAGACAGTTGCTTTGGGACAAGTGGCAGGACTACCAACTTAACATTAAACTGCCTTGACTTAGAGCTTGTGCTGAGGCAGCTCAGCCACGGCTGTGGTGCAGATAGGAAGTGCAGCTGGACCAGAGACCTTCCAGCCCCTGCCTTTCCAGTGGCATGAGATCAGCAGCAGTGAATGCCTAAATGATGATATACAGTTATAACGTAGTGCTGTGAGAAAGAAGTGGATTTAGTATTGCTCCTACTAAGGATTTTTGTATCTTAACAAATGCAGGTTTCCTTGAAGTCCAATGTGAACTCATTCTTTGAGTTAATCAAGTTTGATTTCAGATTGTTTTTAAAAATTTTTTTTTTCTTGCATATTCTCAATCTTGACTTTAAATTGATTTTGCTTACTTTTTTTCTGGAGTAATATTGCTGACTTATTGTATTACTGTATGTAATGTGGGTACAGAGATCCTAGACGCATATAAACTAGAGGGAGAATGTTAACTGCTGATTCTGAACTTTAACCTCCATAATGTTTCTTTTTAGAACATTATTTCTTGTTTGAGGTCACTATTTTATTCTTACATCTGCAACAGCTATCACTGCTTCTAGACAGTCTAGTTCTTTTTCCAAGTGCAATCATTTTGGACCACAACAAACTTGATTTACTTCCAATTTAAGCCTCATCGGTTTGTTAGTCCTCTTATCTTCAGCCATCTTGGCCTGCTATATTTCCAACATCAGCCATTTGTAAAGACAGCCCAAAACAAAGCTTTGGCCATATGTCGTTGTATTTGAACTAAGCATATATTTGGAAAATTTTCTTTTAGAAAGGCATAGCAAGTGTTATAAAGTCATCAGAAATGTAAATGAAAAGCTGAGCTTATGTTGCATGGAAAAAAATATATCTGTGCAAGAGGACTTTCTCAGGCAATTAATAATATGAATTAATACTTAAAATACAGAAACTTTTTGAAATAAACTGTACTTAAAAATAGTAGGAGAGCAAAAAATGAGGCTGCATTTTATTGTAATGAACACTTAGAAGATGAATTCAGACTGTTAGAGGAAGATCTGTGACTGTATGCTTCCATCATACAAAGCAGATGAAGCATCTGAATAAGCTCCCGAGAATGTGAATTTTGACTCACAGTAGAAATATCAGCTGTGGATGCTGAAGGAACTGAGCATTCTGGAGGATAAATTCCTACTGAATTCTTAAACTCATGCTCAGACATTGAAAGAAAGAGACATATTTAAAGTTAAGCAGTAATATATCTTTTATACTTGGAGGCATTTCCTGTTGCTGTGCTGATGCAAGCCATACGCTGGCATGTCTTAATGGTGGGGAGGTAGTTGAGGTGTCCACGTGTCCTGTTAATTTCCAGTAGCTTTAATTTTCTTTGCAAAAGTGAGGGCTTTTTTTTTTGTTGTTGTTTGGTTTAATTTTATGGTCAATCAGATCTTTCTCATGCTTCTCAAAGATGGACTGCAGCCTTGTGATGTCTGCACAGTGCGTTGGTCACATGCACACGGTCCCAGCACAATGAAGGAAATAAAAAGGGGACTGAAATTTCTTGGGGTTGTGGTATGGCAGGATTTGTGGTAGTACCTGCTAGGAAGTCTGGCAAAGGCACAGACCTGAGTCTTGCACTTTGGATTCAGAATTAAAAAATAAAGGAATAAAGCTGATGGAGTTTGTTACCCTTAATCTAAAAAATCTGAAAGGTTAGTCTTGCGTTTCTCAAGGTTCTTTTGTTTTTTTTTTCAGTAACAAGTCTAAATGTCTTATTTAATTTGTTGTTTGTTTAGTTGTTATGTTTTTTTCTTTCTTTGTTTTTAGGTATTCTGAGGACGATGCTATTGAGAGTCTCCAGAAAACTCGAGCATTATATACTGAATACAAGCCATGTTTGGATGTGCATTAAGAGTACCTCACGTTCAGTATGACACATGAGCATGAGAGCTGTGCTGGACAAAGCTGGTTTTTCTCTCTAAGAGGTATGCAATTAAAAACCTCCCTGTGTGCTAAACAATGCAAGACAAATACAGAAAGGTACACAATTTAGATAAGTGGAACAGGCTAAAGAACAGAGCTTTAAGATTTGCTTTTTAAGTAGAAGAAAGGTAGGGTTTAAGGCATTCTAACGTGGACTATATTGTAAGCAGGCCATGAGAATGTGAGTAAAGGGGGTTGAAAACAGGGCTAATTAATGGCTTGGGTGGAGGGGAAGTTGCTGTACGGGTGTAATTGTGCACCAGATCTGAGCCAAGGAAGGGTGGTGCTGGGGGTAACGTGGTCAAGGCCACAAGAAAGGAAAATACCAGTGCCAAAATTGTTTTGAGGAATATTAATGACCATGTTACAAGATTGGAGTACAGGAGAAAATAGTGTGGAGAAAATAAAAACTGATATGTTTTCTATTTGAAGATGAGAAATGGGGGAAAAAAAAAACAACCACACATATATTAGAAAGAAAAAGAGTAGTGGGACAGATCTTGAGGTGAGTACAAATAGCTGAGAGAATGTCAGCTCTGTTGTCTATTTTGAGGTCACACAGCTGTAAGTCCCAATACCAAGTTTCTCAAGAGCTCTTAAGCCCCATACATTGTAATGGTGGTCACTTAGAGCTGCACAAGTTAAAAGGATCACCTGGCAGGGGATTTGAGCTGATTAATGGTGAGCCATCCTATCATTGCTGAGCTGGTCTCTACCATTCTTCTTTACAGATGCATCTGGAATATGTCAGGGCTCTCTCTTGTAAAACGTGCATTCAGGCTTCCAGCCAGCTAAGAGGTGCTGCCGTGGGTGCTCCCAGCATGAGGTCGCCTCCTGCCTAGACTGTGCCATCCCTCAGTCCCAATGGTAGAGTGCTGTGTGAATGAATATGGCCTGATGAGAGAGTATCAGCCATGGGTAAGCAAATCTATGAACATTTATTCTTTAGAAAAGCATCTATTTTGTTAAAGCTTCTTGTAGGTTTAAGAATGATACTTTTTCCCCACTTTCCCTTCAGCTATGTATATAATTCCCCCTTCTTAGAAAGAGGACATTGGAAGAACCTACATTTTGTAGACAAAAGAAGTCCTGAATGCAACTTCTGTTGCAAAAGAAGAGCAAGGGGGAACCAGGAGTATCTCTGCTGTTGGCTGAGGCTGTAAAACTCTTGGGTTCTGTGATAACATTCAGATTTTAGAGAAAAGTAGCAGAAAGCATCGGAAGTGGATGGACAGCAAGAAGCAGGAGCTGAGGAACATGAAGACGGGGATGCTGGTGAGTAAGGCCAAAACCCCCTTCCTGCAGCATGACTGGGGTGGCCAGCTGACACCCTAGGCTGCACTGAGCTCCCTGTGCTGCCTTCTTTGTGATTCAGCCTCCAGAGTGAGGGTGTGGGGACAGCACAGCTGTCACCGATTCTGGAAATGAATTACAGCTTATGGCTTGTGAGGGATCAGACCTGGGGGAACGCTGGCCAGCAACAAAACTACCCTGGGCTAGCAAAATACTATCACAAATAGCATAGGCTGGACAATGTATATTGCTTTTGGTTCATGTCTGAGTGTGAGCTGCAGTTTGTTGGCTCTGCGGAATGCAAAAACCAATGCTGCTGTACGGGTTGGGATAGGACTAGGGCTGCTGTGCTGCCTCGGAACCAGGAAGGCTCTCCCAGCTTCCCAGGCACAGGTGTGGGTGTGCTGCTGCTGGGCGTTGCAGAAACAGTCTCTGTGCCGAGCAGGTGTGTGCAGAGGTGTCTGCCTCACACCCGGGAGGTGTGGCATGGTAAAGGACGTGCATATAAGGTACAGTGGTGAGGCTGCCGGAGGGCCCCTCCAGCTGTCTTGTGTTGCTTTTGGAGGTAACAGGTGCTCGATTTGCCACTGAATGGAGCGGAGCGAGTTTGTCTCTGTGGTGCATGTGTAGAAGCGAAATGGTGATCACCGTGCGGATTTGAACAGCACCATACAAGTTTATTCTCTTAAACTTACGCATTTTAATACAGCGGCCGCGTAACTCTCCGATTTACTTCTCCCTTCAAAGCCAAGGGAGACGCCGCCCGACCCGCAGCCCGCCCTCTCTCCCTCGCCCCATCATCCCGCTACCGCCGGAGCGGCCCCGCCGCCCCCGTGTCCCCGCCCGGTGCCCCGGCAGCCAGCGGCCCCCGCCCCCGGGACGGCCCCCGGGCGCGGAGTGGAGCGGGGCGGGCGGGGGCGGGGGCAGCCCGGTGCCGCGGGGAGCCCGCAGCCGCCGCTCTCTGCCCGCCGCCCTCCTGCCTCCATCCCGGCAGCCGGCAGCGGCGTTGCGCAGCTCCCGGGCCGGGCCGCGAGGGGCCAGGAGCCGAGCGGGGCC